ATGCTGCCAAGAAGGATATGAGGGAACAGCTCAAGGCCTGGCACGACTCGAAGATGCTCTCCGAGTTCTCTGAGTCGATCCGGACCATCTATGAGCTCCTGAGTGGCAACGCGTGTGTCTGCGAAGGCATGAAGGGAGTTCCTGTTGAGGACCGATTGGACTCGTTTGTCATTTCCAAGAAGTTTGGGCTGGACTGGAAGCAATCCTTTGGTCTCCGCCTGTGGTATGGAATTGCGCAGTATGACGACCTGGCGGCCGCAGTGCAAGGGTTCAAGAACGATGTGGACCAGGAGAAGGAGTATCTGCCACTCCCATGGTACATCGACCAGGGCATCAAGCCACTGTGGGACGATGTGGACTCTGACCGCAGACAAGATCTCCTCTGGGGTCTCTTGCAACTGTATGCAAACGATGCTTCTGACCTGGAGGCTATCTTGCGGCCTGAAAATTCGCAGCTCTCACCTCTCGACATGCGGCTGACATGGCAACTGGGTCTTGCACTGGTGTCTACTGGCAAGGTCTCGTTCGGGGAGAGGGCTACTGAGAAGGCCGACGCTGCTACCATCGCCTACGCATCACAACTCACCAGCGCTGGCGAGTGGCTTGAGGCCGTCTTCGTGCTGCTCCATCTAAGCAACTCGGTTGCCCGAAAGATGGCTATTCAAGAACACCTAGCCCGACACGCCGGTTCGATCGGAGATGAGACAAGCACAGCATTTGGAATCCTGGTCGAGAAGTTCTGCATTCCCTCGTCGTGGATCTGGGAAGCCCTGGCTCTGTACATGCGCAGCGTGAAGAAGGATGCGTATGCTGAAGTTCAGTGCCTTTTGCGTGCTGGCTCCTTTGTCGAGGCTCACCGGGTGCTGGTCAAGGAGGTTGCACCTTTGGCGATCGTGGAGCGCGAGTATGACAACCTGTCAGCTCTCATCTCTCAGTTTGAAGGTCGACACATGGCCATCTCGAACTGGTCATTGGGCGGAGAGATTTACAGCCTATTCTTGACGCTGATTCAGCACCGAAGCAAGGGCGAGATGCCACCAGCTATTGTGTTGGAGAGACTTCTTGCTGGGTTGCATGCGCTGGACAAGAACGTGGCGGATTCAGAGGTTTTACGGTACGCTGCTGTGTCGGACATGGCAGATGAGACTGCCAAGGAGATTTTGAAGGCTACAAAGAAGAGACAGGTATGCCAAGAAGATGCGATCCGTTGTCATGAATCAGTACTAACAGACTCTCAGGACATGGAACTTCGGGCCAAGATTCTCAACTTGCCCCTGACACAGGACCGCCTGCTGGCGTACTCGGTGGACCTGGGCATGGATCGTTATCGGGAGGTGATGTCTCATTAAGAAGGAGTGCAGTGTGGGAGTGGTTGTATAGGCATGTTGCCGCATTCGGGGATTATACGATTGCGTTTTGGTAATGTTTTATTGAAGAAGCCGAGGGTCTTGAAGGATAAGGCCAGGATTGTAGATTAGTTAGATAGTTACAGGAAGAAAAAGGATTGGGTCTCTACAGCTGCCGTGTCAATCAAGGAATCAAGACAATATGAGAAGAATGTTGGAAGCGAATTTGTACTTGACAGCGTGAATGAAGTTGTGAGGCCTTTTCAAACACTCAACTCCAAACCCCATCCCCGTCCCCATCTTCAGCGCGTCGCTGAATCCAAGGGCTAGACCGGATTGGGGAGAAGCTCAGCATCCGCTCGGTCGACGGGGAGGAACGCCGTGACCGCCCGGTGTCCTGACCGGGCGCGTGGGCAGTAATTCGCGGGGGGATGATGCCATGCCATGAGACAGCACATCAGAAATGTTCCGAGGAAGCTGTTTCCCCATTCTGGATTCGGCTTCTTGGCCTTGTAAATCAACCATTGTCAACCTCGACTCTTCCAAAGTCGGCTCGGATGCGCAACCGGCAAGTCTCCGCGCCGACTTGTCCCTCCCACGCCCGGTTTCGCCATCCCACGTCTCTCAGCCAAAAGAAAGCTTCTTTTCCTTTTGACGTCCCGGCCCCGTGGAGCCGTGGCTGCAGTCAGGGCTTCTCCTTCCGTTTAGCAGAGCCTATCGGGCGCGAGGGAACAAGGCAGAGGGAGGGTTTTTGGGAAAGGTTTCTGCAGGGACAAGGGTCCCTCCCACTTCTCCAATGCCGATGATGGCCTGCTGCCCATTCAGGTACCGGAGAAGAGAGAGCTGATGTTCCTGCTTCTTGGGGTGTGTCTCTGGTCGGGAGCCTCAAGCCCGGTGGCTGACATCGGGCAGCCGGGTTTGCATATGACGATGTGTAGTACAAGATTGGATTATTTCATCATTGGGTAGGGAAAAGGGTTGAGAGAAGCATGCCTGACAGTAAAATGTGTCTTGAATTTCAAGTCATTAGGCTCAAGTAGAAACCGTTGGATGAAACAAGTGATCTCATCCTCTTTCCTAAAACAGCATGCAAGCGATCGTCACCTGGTCGGAGAAGAGTCGGCGTATTGGATCTGGCTGACCTTCCGTCTCACCGAGGAATCTACAAGAGACATACATACACAGAGAGAGAGGCTAATAAACTTCCCCTCCCCCAGGTCTCGCTCTCTCGCCGTCTCTTACCAATCTCCACATTCAATCCCATCCTATCCAATCCTACCAAAAATTAATCCACTCTTGTTAGGCCGCCCCCTTCGGCGTCGTCCTATTTCTAGCCGTTAACCTCCACCGTGAAGCTCCTCCGTCTTGTGGGGGGGAGTTGCTTTTACCCCGTTATCGCTAAGCCCGATAAGACCACCACCACCACCACCAAAACAAATTCCCTCCCCGGGCCGGTCTTCGCTCGGAGGTCGCCATCTCTGCTCTGACTCTCTCTCTCTCTCTTCTTCTTCTCTTCTTTTTTCTCGACAACCTGCGACAATCTCCGCTCAGCCTCTTCTCTTCTTTTCTTGCCCTTGCCCGTGTCCTCCCGTCTTAAGCCGTTCAGTCCAGTCGCCAATATGTCCAACAACGACAAGCCCCTCCCCTTCGTCTACCAGTTCGCCGCAGGTAGGCATCTCCATGTTGAACTTGGCGCTTCGCTCGGACTCAATGGCTGACTTTTCGTGATTAGGCGCCATTGCTGGTGTCTCGGAGGTATGCTTGCGCCGATTGCTCCCTTGTTGAGAAGGGTTATTGCTAATTTGCCGCTTGGTGTAGATTCTGGTGATGTACGACCGCATTTGTCGCGTGCTTCTGAGACACTCAACTAACAAATCTTCCTAGGTACCCTCTTGATGTCGTCAAGACCCGAGTGTAATTCCTCCAACGGCGCCCAAGATACGAGCCAATTGCTAACTTCAACAGCCAACTCCAGACCAATGCCGCCGGCGCCGACGCCTACAATGGCATGCTTGACTGCTTCCGCAAGATCATCAAGCAGGAGGGGTAAATGCCCAATGCGCCAGCAACTTGCGCCCCAGGATCTTGACGCTGACCCCACGATAGCTTCTCGCGACTCTACCGCGGCATCTCTGCGCCCATCCTCATGGAGGCTCCCAAGCGAGCCACCAAGTTCGCTGCCAACGACGAATGGGGCAAGATCTACCGAAACATGTTTGGCGTCACCTCGATGAACCAGCAGCTCTCCATCCTCACAGGCGCCTCGGCCGGAGCCACCGAGTCCTTTGTGGTCGTCCCCTTCGAGCTCGTCAAGATCCGTCTGCAAGACAAGGCCTCGGCTGGAAAGTACAACGGCATGGTCGACTGCGTCGTCAAGACTGTCAAGAACGAGGGTCCCCTCACTCTATACCAGGGTCTCGAGAGCACCATGTGGCGCCACATCCTCTGGAACGCCGGCTACTTCGGCTGTATCTTCCAGGTCCGACAGCTTCTCCCCAAGTCCGACACCAAGCAGGGCCAGATGGTCAACGACATGATTTCCGGAGGTGTCGGTGGTACCGTCGGAACCATCCTCAACACGCCCCTCGACGTGGTCAAGAGCCGAATCCAAAACACCCCCAAGGTTGCCGGCCAGGTTCCCAAGTACAACTGGGCCTGGCCCGCCGTCTTTACCGTGGCCAAGGAGGAGGGATTCAGCGCTCTGTACAAGGGTTTCCTGCCCAAGGTGAGTTTCCGGGCTGAGAGCGCATGAGGTCATCCTCATACTGACATGTTTATAGGTTCTGCGTCTTGGTCCTGGAGGTGGTATCCTTCTCGTCGTCTTCACCACCGTCATGGATACTTTCCGCTCGTGGCACTACCCCCCCACTAACTGAGACGTTGGAGCATAGGGGTAAAAGAAAAGAGCCAGGAGACAACAATCAAAAAAGAGAGAGGAAGCATTCAACGATACCACGCCGCGCTACACATACAAGGACGGCTTCCGGAGGGCATGGGCATCTGAAGAAATTGGAGTGGTGTACTGAATATTGCAAGCAAGTGCCACGCACGGTACGTTCCGTTTCAGTTAGAATCCGCGTCGGATGGTGTTGGGCCGGTTGTATAGGATAAACAGGGGCAGGTCGGTTTGCATTGGAGTAGGCTAGGCTAGGCTACCTATAGATCTCGAGCCAATTCAATGTCTTTGAATAAGTTGGAGTCTTTTGTCTGGTGTTGAGCTTATGGCTCTTGAGCTTCACGGGATGCAGACAACAACCGTGAGTGTGTCTAGGCGAACATATGGACAAGGGTTGGTTGTTGCGCATCTCACATCTTGGGGTGAGTGAGCAAGCATCCCTTGCAACCGGGCACAAGGGAGCCAGGGGTTCTCGGTCAAGAATGAGCTGGCTGGTCCAGGCGCCGAGACAGTATCACTACTCACGCTCAGATTGGAGGCAGGTCAAGGACGAACGGCTTGGTAAGTCGAGGAGTGATCAATTGCTAGAAATGGTTCCTAGACTACCTCGTCCAGCAAAAATCGAGATTTCGATTGAAATGAAGCTCATCATGTCCCCAGTGCTGACTGTTACCTCATATTTAGGTATCCGACCTTGGGATGATATCCCATTTTCCTGCCTCTCCATCGTCCACTCAATCCCAACTCAACTCAACTACCTAGTCATCATCCATGGTTAGGTCGACGACTTGCCCACCACAGCCTGGCGAGTACTGGCTCACAAAGGTTTCAATCTCCTCGATGATTTCGTCTTCAGGGCGATATCCAATGACAAAAGGGGCAAGCCTGCGAAGTGTGCAGAATCTCCTGTCCTCCTCCGCCTTGGCACGGCGCACCGTGTTGTTGAGGTCGCTCACAAAGGTCCAATCGCGGACGGGCAGCTTGGAGCCTAGCTCGAGCCACTTGTCATAGTCCCAGAAGGTGATGCCGTTGAGCCCGCGAAGCACATGGAGGTAGTCGAGTCCCGGGATGGTGCGCAGGGCGCGGAAGCGGCGGTAGTTGGGCTGCCCCATTGTCTTCTCAGCCATGTACTCGATGATGTGAGGGGGCTCATGCTTGCGCCGCATGTACTGCTTGGACGACTCGGGGATGTAGACGGCGATGGACTTGAGGCGGCGGGCCTCGCTGAGGAAGGCGAGGTGGTGCGTCCGGCGCGACGTGTACCGACGCTTGTCGTCGGGCCTGTACGTGACACACTGGGAGCCCATCCACAGGATCTCGACGTGCTGGATGTGCTGGAGCCTGGCGCCGATTCCGCTTGCAAAGCGACCCTACTCGCCGATGGAAGAGAATGCGAACGTGTTGCTCCCGTAAAAGATGCTGGCCCCAAGGTAGTTGAAGTGTTTGGATACGAGGAGCGGAGCGAGGAGCTCCTGTGGCTTGATGGCTCCAAACGTCAGCGAGACGCTCTCCTCACCAACGTGGAAGCGGTGCAGGAGTGAGACTTGGCCACTGCAGTTGCGAGGCACCTCGGTCGGCTCGTAGTATGGGTCCAGGCGGGAGATGGCGTGCACCAGCTGTCGCTCAAAGACGAAGAGGTAGGAGAAGATCTTGATCTGCACCCCGATGTCGAGTCGTTCAAGGGAGGATCGCCGTGGACCTCCCAGAGACGGTGGCTGACTCGGAGGCGATGGTCGATTTGGAGGTGGCCCTTGGACTGAGCCTGGATCAGGGGATTCCTCTTCCTCTTCATCAGAAATCACCACGATCCCCTCTGCTTCTTCCTCCTCATCGGGAGCACGCAGCTTCAGTCCTGGGTGCATCTTGGAGGACTTCCGCGTGCTAAAAGCCCACGACATGTTCTCCTCCTTGCACGAAAGCTTGTAGATGTCTCCCCAGTTGTGAAATCTCGAGTCCCTCAGGGTCCCATAAACCCAGAGGCTGACGATTCCACGCCACGACTATCACCTGTCAGTACATGTCGAGAGCGCACCGGGGGAGCTGCTACGTACCTTGTCGTGTGGGCGACGCTGCCCACGGGCCCGAAGGCGTGCATTATCCTCTCTGAGCTGACGGATTTGTTGGCGAAGGCTGCTCTTGACGTTTCGGAGCTCGGTCCTCTTGAGGAGGAAGCGCCTGCGGTATCTCAGGAGTACGTGAGCAACCTCACTCCAGTGAGGTTTGCAAGTCTTCAAGCATCGTTCAGCCCAATCGGGCTCAGTGATGCCTTCCTCCTCGAGAGCCTCTTCGAGGGCTGCGTTCGCATCCTTTTGGTCGGACGGGATAAGATCATCACCGTCGTCACTGTCATCGCTGTCGTCACTATCATCGTCGTTCTCGTTGTCTCCATTGTCTTCGTTGTTGTCATCATTGTTGTCATTGTTGTTGTCATCATCGTTCTCATCACCGTTCTCATCACCGTTCTCATCATCGTTGTTGTTCATGTCGTCGTCGTCGTTCTCATCATTGTCGTTCATGTCATTGTCGTTGTTCTCATCATTGTCATTCATGTCGTTGTCGTTCATGTCGTTGTCGTTCATGTCGTCTTCGTTATTGTCGCTGTCGTCCATGTCGTCGTCGACGTTGATGACGTTGCCATGATTGTTGCTTTCGTTGGTAATAGTTCCCTCGTCCTCGGGGTCGTCGTGGACAAAGAGACTTGAGTCGGATCTCCCCCGAAGAATTTCTGGCTCATCGTCGTTGGCGACGAGATCAATGAAGGTAAAGTCAGTGGAAATAGGCGGCGTGACGCTGTTGGGGAGAAAGAGGCTTGATTCTTCTCTCACTCGATCATCATCCTCATCCAAGTCCATGAGGTCCTCAGGATTGCCAGTGAGGTCAATGTGGTCGACCTCACCCTCTTCAGACATGGCGCGCGACATGATGCCTGGATGAGGAGGTGGATGAGGAGGTGGATGAGGAGGTGGATGAGAAGGTGGATGAGAAGGTGAAAGAAGAGGAGGGAGAGTTGAGTGGATGAGGAGAAAAGAATGAGAAGAATAGGAGATGGAAGAGGTGTATATATTCAAAGGGGGATGTGATTCACAGTCGCTATGAGATGGATACAGCAACAACCACATCTCATCTCCCTTTCCAAGACGCTTTGCACCCCATACAACCGTCGAGCTCCCCATTTCCACATTACGTAGCTTGTTCCCCTTTAAAGCTACCCTTCGGCCTCCGACTTCATCTAGGAACAGAGTCCAACGATGAGGAACAAGAGACGCCGGGACAGTACTGTACAATTCCAGGCCAGTGGAGTTATAGGAGAGAGGACGCCTCAGCCATCAAGGACTCTAACATTAGATAGGTCAATATCGACTCGACGTGGCTTGATAGTAACCTAGCTTCCGAGTCCAAGATCAGAGCCATCAGCCTGCGAACTGGCTTGATGCGAGTTCCCGAGGTCGAGGTGACACGTTTGGCAGCTCATCAACTTTCTGATGCGGGCCGGGGGATGCCATCACAAGACCACTCGGCCTCCGATTTTATCCAGGAACAGAGTTCTACAACAACAAATAAAAGACGTCGAGTCCGACCATGTGGCAGAAGCTCGGGTTGAGTTACAGAGCTCAACAGCTGCACACCTTGTTGCCGCGAGCCATTATTGGCTCTTCTCTGACTCAGTAAAAGGGACCCTTCTGTAAGTGGTACGCCGTGGCGGGGTAAGACCAGGGCCAGCTCGAGTGCGCGTTTTGGGGCTCGTTTTTGGGGCAACTGACGCGCACAATTGGGCGGCCCCTCGGTACATCGATAGTACATGCATGCCTAGGTCGAATCTCCAAGTCATCATCTACCAAGTGCTTCTTTGCCCTTCCAACTCAACCGAGTCTTGACTCGCAAAGTTTTGCAGCTCAAGACCTTTATCGCATCCATCAGATTCGGTTGGCAATATCAAAATTATCAAATTTCGCTCCAAAACTTCCCCTGACGACCTTCAAACGCCCCCTTCGACCCCTTGTTAGTCGCTCCCATCTGCGCTCGGTGGCAACTTATATCCAGCTCAAAACCCGTTGCGACACGCCCTGCATCAACCTGACAGCGCCTCTTGCTTCATCTAGAGCTCGTCCGACCCTTCCGAGCTCTCCAGCGCCTCAATCTGCACCTTTAAACAAGCCGTGACCCATCGAGTTCACAGCGAGGTGCCTTTCGCGCGTGGGAGAGTCCTCTCGCCCCCTGCCCATGAGTCACTTACTGTGGAAATACTACTGGGAAGATGATGTCGACAGGTTTCGGCGTCTGCTGGCCCCAACCAGCTACAACGCGCAGGCTGTGTCAAGGAGTCCGGCCATAGGGTCTGGCAGCTTCTTTGGAGGAAGTTATGGTGCCCCGGGCACCTCTCCCCGATCAGCTGCAAAGCATCGCCGGGCATCCGGACATCCGCAGACTCCAGCCAAGTCCAAGGATGCCAATACGAACCTCGGACGAGCCGAAATCAACAGCCGCGACCATGCCGGCTTGACTGTCCTGCTGCGTGCCGCCTCGTCGACCGAGCCGAATGCCTACGAGTTCGTTCGCGCCCTTATCGAACACCCTGCCATCGACCTCTACGCCCAAGACCCCGAGAGCGGCTGGAATGCCCTCCACCGATCCTTGTATGCTGGAAACGTTTCGATTGCGCGCTTGCTGTTGGAAAAGGAACGGGTCGATTTGACGAACCACAACCTGAGCGCCGTCAACAAGGTCGGCCTCTTGATCAAGACCAAGGATCATGAGGGAAACAGTCCCTTTGATGTCTACAACTCGACGATTGCCGCGAGATCGCTGAACGATACGGACGATGGAAGTAGTTCGGATAGCGACGCTGATAGCGTGGATAGCACGGGCGACGGGGCACATCAGTAGGTTCACACAGGACATGGACCCCCTGACTTGACTGACTGTGGTCGTAGAACGCTCAAGGTTCCTCATACCTTTCAGTCTTCCATTGACGGCGACGAGCTCTTTGTGTTTGGGAGCAACAAAAATGTGTCCCTAGGAGTTGGTGACGAGGATGATCGACAGTATCCCGAGCGCATCCATCTCTCCCGTCCAGACCTCCTTGTGCATCGGTTTCACCACTCGCATCTTGAAAGTCTGGATATGGAAGAGCCATCTTCTCTGGATCTGGATCAAATCCCAACCTTGGTCCGAAATCGCCCTTTAATTATCCAAGATGTGACCATGTCAAAACTTCACAGCGCCATCTTGACGACCGATCCAGTTTCAAATCTCTACATATGTGGAGTTGGACGTGGAGGAAGGCTCGGTCTTGGCCATGAGAATACCAAGTTTAGGTTTGTGCCTGTGGAGGGTCCCTTCATGGATAAGAAGGTCCATCAGGTTGCCCTCGGACAGAACCACTCGATGGCGGTCACAGGAAATGGAGAACTCTGGACTTGGGGGTTGAACTCTTGCTCGCAGCTCGGATATGCGCTGCCACCACCGATGAAGGCAGATGAAGAACCCATGAGCCTTTCACCGCGCCAGGTTTTTGGTTCTCTCAAAAAGGAGATCGTTCTTGGTGTGGCTGCATCAGCGAACCACTCGGTTGCCCACACGGGATCCTCTCTCTTCACCTGGGGGCGAAACGTAGGGCAGCTTGCTCTCATGGATGCCGACTCCAGGTCGCTCGACGTGCAACCTACCCCCAGAAAGGTTGCTGCCTCTCTCCTCGGAGCCCCAATTGACATGGTCTCAGCCATCGACAAGGCTACCATCTGTCTCCTCTCCAACCACACGGTCTGGGTTTTCAGCCACTATGGCTACAACCTGGTCAAATTTCCATTCCCCGACGTTTTCACAAATCACACTTTAATGCATTCTTCCTATTCAAATCGGTATGACCCAGGTCGAAGAGAAATCAGTTCTATTGCCTCGGGAGGCGAGACAATCGCTGCCGTGACGGCACGCGGAGATCTTTTCACGCTACATCTCAATCACAAAGGGGATCCCAGCCAATCTGCCGCGTCCACCACCAACCCGGTCAAGATCAAAAATGCCTTGACCCAACCCCAATGCATCTGGGACTCACGCAAGGATGGGGCCGTCTCTGTGGGAGTCGGCGAGCATGGTTCAGTCATCATCTGTACCGAATCAGGGGCTGTCTGGAAACGAGTCAAGCGTACCAAGGGCAAAATGACCGGATTCGCAGAGTCGGGAGCAAAGCGCAAGGACTTCAAATTCCAGCGAGTTCCCTATATCACCAACTGCGTGGCTGTTCGAAGCTCCATCTTTGGCGCGTTTGCTGCCATCAGAAAAGACAGCAAAGTGATGGCTCAAGAGATCAAGATCTCGGAAAAGTCACTACGCGACGAAATCGGCTCCCTTCTCTGCCTCAACAGTTTCCAGGCCCCTGACTTAGGCGAGACCACGACTGGTCGCGAAGCCTTCGAGAAGGCCATCGTCCGCGAGAGGCCTGGCTCGGTTCCTTATGAAATCCTTCGGTCGTCCAATATCGTGCAACATTTGCTGAATTGGCTTTCGATGAATTCATTCCAGTTTGACGACATGAACATGGCGGTTTGCTCGTCTGATGCACCCGAAGTGAGGATACCAGTTCATAGTTGGGTTCTTGCTGGGAGAAGTTCAGTCCTGCGGCATGGGTTATCAGAGTTGCGCAGTCGTGGTTCATCGTTTAGTACGGATTCCTTCAGCCTCGAAATCGACGAGGACAAGGCCTTATTGACGCTGCTTGGGGTTGACATTTACACCGTTCTCAACATTGTTGTCCACGCTTATCAAGACAGTTTCGTGCCTGTGTGGAGGTACACACGCGAATCACCGGCGGATGCCCCTCGCTTCCGGCGTGTCAGGACTGAGCTGATGAAGGTGGCTACGAAACTCGCCTTGCCCAAGTTGGAGGCAGCAGTTCGCTTGCAGACAGGGGTGGACGAATCTCTCGATGCAGACTTCAAGCAGGCGATCTACGATCCAAGTTTCTTTGATGATGGTGATATCATCCTTGAACTAGATGGAGAAGATGTCATGGCCCATAGCCAGCTACTGTGCCAGCGATGCCCCTTCTTCGAGGGCTTGTTTAATGGCCGTTCTCAGGGCCAATGGCTCGCTGGACGCCGGGACGGCATGGGCGAAGCGGACAAGATCAGAGTTGATCTCAAGCACATCGATCCTGACATCTTTCACTACGTCATGTCCTTCATCTATGCTGACATCGGGCAAGAGCTCTTTGACGAAGTATCGGCGGCTAACCTCGATGAGTTGTCAGAGCTTGTCCTGGGAGTCATGAGCGCTGCAAACGAGCTAATGCTTGACCGGCTCTCTCAAGTTTGCCAAAGCCTCATTGGCAAGTTCGTCACCACGCGGAACATCTCAAACCTGCTCAACGAGATCAGCCCGTGCTCCGTTACAGAGTTCAAGGACACTGGGCTTGAATACATCTGTCTCCAGCTTGAGTCGATGCTTGAAAACCACCTCCTGGATGACTTGGATGAAGACCTCCTTTTTGAGCTCGACGAGGTAGTCCGTGATAACCAGCTTGCGCGGCTTCCGTTTGCACGGAGCGGAAGAGCAACCTTGCTACTTCATGAGAAGTATCCAGAGCTGGCTGCCGATATTGACGAGGAGCGACAGATCAGGATCAGGGAGATGGCATTCAAGACCATTCAAAGGGAAGATGAAAAGAAGCTCTCATCATCCTTCAAGGCACGGATTGGGAGCCTGGATGATGGTAGTCCTTTCCAGACACCAGACACCCGGCGCAAGTCAAGAAGTGCACGCAACGAACCATTCAGTCCTAACCTGCGCCCGAAACAATCACAGGCTGAACTGATCTTTGACATGGACGACGAGGATGACCCGTCTCTCACCAACACCCGATCACCCATGAATGGGCCGTCCAGTCTCCGTCTCCCCATCGACACCGAAGACATGCCGCAGCTAC